CTATTGTTGTCTGTTTTTGATTTTATTTTAGATATGACTATTCTGAAAGCACAAGTTATGCAGAACAGTTGGAAACCCATGTAGGGCTTCACAATCCACGTAACATCGAGACATTACTTGACATCCTTGGTGTGGACACTAAACAGCCCTGTTCACTACTGAGAGGTTTTCAAAGGTTTGACTACTTAGTAATTACGCCTTGAGCCCGAAAGGGCTATCTAACAATATCCCATGAGGACGAACTGAGAGACAGTTGGTCAAGTGTCGTCTGGTCATAAAATACAAGCTTTGCTGTCAACACCATGTCATTTAAACAAAGTGTTTCAAGTTGTTAGAGCTGTTTTCGTATGACGGTGAAAAGCTCGCGGCACGAACACGGTCGTGACACGGCAAGGGATACGCCAGACCAATCACATTGCACGAGAATTTACTCTCCATCCAATCAAATACCCGGAACACGGCATAAGCACGGCGAGGACACGGTCACGCCAAGCTCTCGGCACTGTGCAAGACAGATTACATTACGCAAGAAAACAAATAGCCAATCACAATTCTAGAAAACATCACGGCCACGGCAAGGCTCGCATACGGCACTGAGCTCTTCACAGTCATACGAAAACTGCTGTATGAGTTGGTGGGCAGTATTAAATGTGTGATTCTTTTGAACCAATAAGTCCCAACTTTTTTTCCATACAAGTCATTKACCATATCATAACAACGTTGAGTTCCTTTAAACAGCATTTGCCACAATTTTTACTCACTCTCATACATTTTATAAARTAACTGTTATGAATGTCGCGCTCTGATTGGTTTGGAGCGCGTGCTCTATGAGAGCAYATTGCACGCGCGCGCACTTTCCGTTGCGTTATTCCTATCTATTATTGTAATTTATATTTTATAAAAGAAATAAAAAACTTGTTTGCTGTGCTGTGTGCAGTCATAAAGCACTTGGAGATTGGCAGAACACTCGAGAAGTGTCCAGAAGCACTCCGCTACGCGTCGTGCTTCTCCTAACACTTCTCTCGTGTTCTGTCAACCCCTGCGTGCCTTATGGCAGCACACAGCACGCGCGCGCGTTTTCTGTTTCCTTTATACATGAGTCATAATCATATTCATAGGAACTTCACACAGTTGTTAAGGCGTGATTACACGGAGCAATTTTCTCTGCAACTTGTCTCGCAACAGGGTCGCGACACGAGCTGCAAGAGTGTCTACACGGTGCCACGGAGACGCAATCGTTGCCAAAAGTAAAAACGAATTCTACTTTCGCAACGATTGCTACAACTTGTCTCGCAACATTGTTTTCAAATGCGCTGTGGGTTACACGCTGCAATGCTTCATGCAACTTGTGTCGCAACGCCGGTGCAAGACAAGTTGCAGAAATATTGCTCCGTGTAATCACGCCTTRGGTAGAAGGCGTAGCTAGGTTGGTTCGTGTTGGACCTTCTGAGCTAGAGAGCCACTGTTCAATCCAAAGGATCTCCACGTCTGTTTTGACTTCCACCTGTTTAGCTTCAGCTTTAGATAATTTGAGGAGCAGCTCAGCTCAGTTAGTGTGCGGCCTTCAGAGCTAGAAGTCCATAGTTCGATCCTCAGAAACTCCACGTCTGTTTCGACTTCTCTCTGTTCGGTGTAGCTTTGATTAGCTTTAAATACCTGTAAAATGGAGCACTGATAGTAAGAGGGGGTAGAGGGTGCACCTTCGAGCGCATTAAACATGAGCCCTTGGCTTGGGAGAATTGGGCAACCATGCACTCCTCTTGTTATCGAAGTAATATAAATTATCTTTACCTGATTGATACCAGAAGGGGTAGAGGGCGCACCTGCGAACGCTCAATACATAATACCCTGTATTAGCCCCTATATTATCATAAATGTACATTTTATAAATATTTTTTCTTGACAGATCTCACTTTCCAGAAGACGAATACTTTGATGTATTAAGAAACAAACAGTCGGCAAAGTGGTCAATGGAATCGTGAGTACATCTCTATCAATATCGACCTTTACTATTTACAACAATTACCCTGAGGCGAATAATTGTTTTAGTATTTTTAACACAAGTGAATTAAATAAATAACGGAGAGAGAGTTTTTCAAATTTTATTCCTCTCTGCAAGCGGCAAGAATCGACAAACGAGCGTGCGCATGCGCGAGTTATATTCGCCTGCAGGTGTATATTTAGCAATTATTCGCCGAAGGCGAAGTGAATATTCTCCATATTCACTGAGCCGGAGGCGAATAATTGTTTTAGCGTATACCAACTTGTGTACAGAGTAACTTATTTTTATATACAATAATTCAATAAAAACAAACAAACAGAAACTTTTAGTTTGCGTGACAAATTCACGCAAAACTTTTAGCAAAACTTTTAGGCCATACTTCGTTGCCTTTTTAGTATTGATAGGAATGGCATTTACTTTCATTTTTTCAATTTCCTCATCGGAAATTGTAGCAAAACGATTGCCGGTAGATGCCATTTTGTTGCCGACTCAATATTCCGAGATTCAGAGGTGAATATCATACAATATTCACCTCCAATTAACCAATGAGCGCGCGCGTTCTTAGGAAGTACACAAGTTGGTATATGCTAAAACAGCATAAGAAGTAAATTGTGGCCAATGAGCGCGCCGGATTTATTATATTTACTAGTGTAAACTTATTATTAATGAATTGTATTCTTTTGCAGGACGGCCAAGGGCGTTGAACTTTTTAAAGGTGGCGACATCAAAACTGCAATGAAGTACCTGGAACATGCTCTACAGATAGATGCAGAGAACGTCGAAGCTTTGGTGGCGAGAGGAGCTCTGTAAGAAGATTGGTTYGTTATAAGGATTGTCTTGATTGTCTTGACCCCTTCCCGGTTAGCTCGGTTGGGTTGGAAGTTCTTGGGTTCAAGCCTCCGCGGCTGGACTCACACTCAGAGTCTATAATACCTGAGTAGAAGGTGCTGCCTTTGCTCTAGAAATATTTGCAAATGGTTAGGCCTTCGCCGTGGCTCGGATGTCCACGTAAAATGGCGATCCCGTCTCGCTTAAGGGCAATTTAGACGGTACGATTTTCGCCTACAACTATCGTATACAACACGCTCGCGCCATCCTACAACTCGAGTCGTAGCGTATAAATCGAGCCTACAACTCGCCTACGACAGACGCGAGCGTGTTGTATACGATACGATAAAATCGTACCGYCTAAACCGGCCTCTAGAGACGTTAACTATAGAGGGCCACACATTTATGAGTGCAGAGTTGGCTACTGGGGTCGTTGACCCTCTCTTAACAAAGACCTTCTCCTTCTTCTTGGATCGAACTGATTCRTTTTTATGAAATGGTGTTTCTGTTCTTTGTCTTCAGGTTAGCAAATGAGGGCAAATACAGCGTGGCCATCAATGATTTTCGTCAAGCTCTTTCTATCAACCATCATCACAGGAACGCGAATAAATATTTGGTGCAAACTTTGATAGAACAAGGAATACAGTAAGACTAACCATCCAATATTGCTTACTATCAATCACGTGACTTTTTGGAGTTGACTGGGGGGCAAACAAGCGGTTGACTGAGGGGCAACTAGCGGATGCTAAGTCAAAACATATCAAAATAAGTCCT